AATCTGAGGATGCAGAACCCATGGATATAAAGAGCCAAATGTATGTTTATATTTCACTTTTACTACCCAGTGAAGGCCTAGCATAGTGATACCTACCCCACACACAATGCCTGCTCATTAAGTATTTGTAGAAGAAATGAAATGAATATATTTGATTTCTGAACACTGTCATTGCTGCTCACAAGGATTCCATGGATATCTGAACAAATGAAGTTTCAGCACAGTGTGTGCATTTAATACTTCACACAGCGTTGCACTTTCTAAACTGCATACACTGTGGAATACTATTTCAGGAATAAAATTCATAAGTATATTGTGGGGAAAAAAAGGTTCCATGATAAACTGGAAAACAATGTTATAATATATGCTCCTTAGCTCTTTACAAGAAGCATATTTATGGAGGGTCCAAGAAGCTCTACAATAAAGAAATCTGTTTCACACAGCACTCTTCAAACTTATTTTTTCCCAATATTCTTATTTATATCCTCCCAATGTAAGAAATAATATTTTGGGACAATCCCATCTAGTGTATACCTGATGCTAGTCATAACAAGAACGAATAAAAGTCTCAAGGTCTGGGAGATTACAATAAAAAATTAACAAAATAATAAATGTAACTTAAAAAGAAAGATTTCACTATCACCAGGGATAGAAAGCAGTGAAAATAATATCTGATCCTGGGGATGATTGACACTAAATATACTGACAAAGTCTCATAACTGCAGCGTTTGATCTGGCAGCCTGAGTCACATGTGCCCACTGAACACTGAAGTGTGGCCAGTCCAGACTGAAACATGCTGTAATTATAAAACAACATATTGGACTTAGACAACTTAGAACCAAAACAAAACAAAAAAAAGAATGTAGAATACCTCATTAGTAATTATATTATTTATTATATTGAAATAGTAATTTGGATATGTTTAGATTTATTATTAAAATTAACTTCACCTATTTCTTTTTACTTTTAAAATATGTGGCTACTAAAATGTTTCATAGTACATATGTGGTTTACATTGGATTTCTGTTAAACAGCACTAGGCCAGAGACTTGAATGAGCATGATGCATTTAGGAAACAGTAAACAAGCCAGCTCAGCTAGACATGCATACAGGAGATGAAGGTTCAGAGGTGGCATTCTTGGGTGCTTTAATTTTCCTATATTAGTAGAGAACTACTGAAGAGTTTTAAGTAAGCAAGTGACTGGAAGATATTTGCTTTTTAAAAGATTACTCTGGAAGCAAAGAAGATGAAACAGAAGAAAATCATATATACGAGAAACAGGAGACATTAGTCAAAGCACAAAGAGGAGGAGGCCTTTTCATAATTAAAATTAAGTCATTAGAATTATAAGAGAGCTTCTAGAACTACAGAGAGTGACGTACAAAGAAAAGTGTCAGCTGACAGAGTTAAAAGTAGATTCTAAGGTCTAAAAAATAGTCTGGAGCCTGCTTTATGGAGAGTCTAAAATCTCTCAAAAGTCCTAAAGAAAACAGCTACATCTGATCTTAGGAGCCTTGGGCACATACATCAGAAGATCTCTGCACTGTGCCTGAAGCATGTGAAACCACGGGGGAAACATGGAGCATTCCTAACTCATTATTTTTACTAAAAGAGGAGAGTTCGAGGGAAGTTGCTAAATGAATTAATATTAGAATTTTTCAATTCTAAGACATACGTTTCTTTAATATTTTTGAAACTATACAGAAACTTTCAATCAATATTCACATTTAATGGTGAATTTATGAAAAGTAAATGCAGACAGACCTGTTGAGAAATCAGAAAATCCGTTTAAGAATGCTTGGCAAGTTTGAGAACAAGCAAGGAAACCAAAGTGGCTGGAGTGAATAAGCAGAAGTATAGTAGGAGATAAAGGGAATAGGAGAGATCACACACTGTCTAGTAGGTCCTGGTGAAGACTCTGACTTTTACTCTGAAGAAAATCTGTCAAGGAGAGTTATCAACTATGACAAACACTGTGGACAGGTAAAGAAAGATAAAGGCTAAGTATAGTGGCTCATGACTGTAATCCTAGCATTCTGGGAGGCCAAGGCAGGAGGACTGTTTGTGTCCAGGAGTTTAAGACCAGCCTGAACCACAGAGCAAGATCCCATCTATACAAAAAATAGAAAAATTAGCCAGAAGTTGTGGCACATGCCCATAGTGCCAGCTACTCAGGAGGCTGAGGCAGGAGAATCACTTCAGCCCAGGAGTTTGAGGTTGCAGTGAGCTATGATGATACCACTGCATTCTGGCCTGGGCAACAAAGCAAGACTCTGTCTCAAGGGAAAACAGGTAAGGACAAAGAAATTACCTGTAGTTTTAGTTGTACACAAATCAACCAGTAACTGTAGGAGCAGGAAAATAGAAGCCAGTGTGGTAATAATGCCTTCTCCATCTAGTAAGCAATCATCTCAAGCAAGCAACTCTAAAAGACCAGGAAGGTGAACTTCCAACTAAGAATCATGCAGGTTAAGTCAATCCCCTGAAAGAAAGCCAAAAAACTCAACCAAGAAGAATTTACACTTGAAGAAAGAATAAAATAATAAGAAAAGTACAGCTTCCATACAATGAAAACAAGTTCTAAAACAAACGTAGTTATGAAAAAAACATCACTTAAGAGATTTCAGAAATAATACAATGATTACATTTATAAATGTAAAAGATGACTAGCAGAATAGCAACTGTTCACACATGAAGAATGTAGTTAATGAGCTAGAAGATCAAACTGAAAATGTACAAACTGAGTAAGAATAAAGTATGAAACAAACGTTTAGACGCATTATGGACACACTCAGAGTTGTAATACCTTGAGAGACTGGAGAAAATAAAGGAGTAGCAATTTTCAAAAAATAAATTTTTCACAACTGAAGACAAATGAGAATCTTCAGCTTGAGAGAGTCCTCTAAGTTCCAAGAAGGGGAACCAAAACACAACATTAGACAATCCATGGTAAAATTTTATGGCATCAAGGATTAAAAAAAAAAAAGCACAACTAAAGACTAAAAAGAAGGAAAACAGAGTACTTAATAAAGGAACGATATTATAGAATTGTAATGAGTTCAGACTTATCAGCAACATTGGATACCAAAAGACAGTGCATTAACTTTTTCAAAGGGGTAAAGGGGAAAGACTTTAGGATTATTTTATATCCAACTAAACAATTAAGAGTACAGAAGGCAGTTTGACCATAGAAGGACTTAAGGTTCATCCCCCCCCCAAAGAACACTGCTTAAATAACTATTTATTTTAGCAAGAAAATAAATGAATTCAGGAGTAGTAAAATGCAAGTATGTAGTAGCATGGGCAAAATACATGAATAAAAAAAAATAAAAACCAGTAACCAAAAGTAGCAAGTATGAAAAATTAATAACAAGTTTTATGTCTTTAATCACAGTCTGGAGTTAAAACTCCATCAACAATAACATGAGAGATGGGGGAAGGGAAAGAGAGAAGGAGACATGTACTCTCATAAATACTTAATTTACACAGTAAAGTACCAATCACAGAATTCTGCTCATACAATATTTGCTGGCATTTAATGAAACCTTGGAATCTGATCTTTAAAATCCTCTTTGACTCTTCTATACTTATTAGATATTGGATCAAAAGTTGGCTACCAGTACCTACAAAGGCTCTTTTTCATTGGTTATCTTAAAAAACAACCCCTATATATATCTCATTCTTAATTTTCTTTCAAGCTTTATTACATCTCCTTACTATAAGTGGCTTTAAAGCTTAGTAGTGTCACTAACAAGCATCAGCAATGCTTGGGCCCCACAGGTGGCATGTGCACTAAAGGGACCATCCACGCCTTAGCAGATAATAGCACACACAAACTGTGTACTGAGGCTTCTTTTCATCTTTTTACATTTCAATCATCTGTTTGCCAAATGGACAGTGAATTTAAATGTCCTTCCAGAAGCTGCCTTTGAAAAAGATATGCATTGAGCTAGGCCAGACAGAACAGTACATAGCATTTCTCCCTTAGTCACTATTGACAGAACAATCTTTAAACAAAGACATGATTTCAGACCATCCTAAGAGGTGCCTCTATTGTGCCTGTCTCTATTCAATAGAACAATAAAGAAATTTTAACATATTAAATGTTACAATTTAAGAGTTTTCTAAAGCATTTAGTTTTATAAAAGAAAACTAAAAATTCATACTTTTCCATTTTTCTGTTTTGAAATCAACATACAACAGGAAAGATTACTTCAACTTGACATCAAGTCATAGACCATATAGGCAGCCACTACGAACACTGAAATTTACTGAATTGTATGTAGTGTATATTTTCCTACAACCTAGCCTGGCCTGTTGTGTAACATTTTGCTTCTTTGTGAGTTAATATGTTTGTTTGAAAATTACAACTATGATAAATGACCTTAAATAGTCTCAAGCCACTAACGGTTTACTTACTACTACTTTGAAAATACTTAGGAACATTAAATATTTTCACATAATTACTTTTCATAATAAGCATTTTCTTCATATTATCTCACTGCTTAAGAATTATCACCTAGGTTTCGTAAAATAGCACAATTCAGTCAATTTATCTGATAGCAACTATCTGTGGAAAATATTGTATAAGCTAGAGATTTGACTAATATATCTAAATATATCAACTATTTAAGGAAATGAAGCAACAGAATACAACTTAAGTTAAAGAGTATGATCACAGATAAGTACAAAAATAGCCACAATCAAATAACGATTCAGTCTGAAGGGAGTACACCTCAAATGCACTACATTTTAAGTCTTCAGATTAAAAGGCACTTTTCAAATTTTCTTAGAAGTCACATTAGAATGTTTTAGACATTTCTTCAAATTAAAAAACAAAATGGCAATGAGATTGAGCTTTTTAGACTGCTTTATAGTTCTTATTTTTAAAGTCTAGAAAATATAATAGCACAATAAAAGTCATTTACATTCAAAATCGATTGTAGATTTAATAACTAGATTATATCAATCTCAAAGAAAAGAATAACAAGTACTTACTTTGGAGGCCCAGGGCTGAAGACAATTGGCATAACAGCGAACAAGAAAAGCCATTTCCTAGGCTGGAAAGGGTAGTTTCCTTTTCAAACCACAGCCACACTGATTAAGTATGGTAACAAATTTCTGTTAAGTTTCTTTTTACAAATCATACACGATTGCAGTGTTATATAAAGGCAGCCTCTCCAAATCCCCTTTGAAACCAAAATCAGGAGCTTTCAGTAGCTTAGTGTATTGTTCTTGATAACTCTAACAGTTCTTATCAAAATGTTCACTTTCACAAGCAAATCACAGTAAATCACGGTGTTTATATTTCTGGCTCAGAGCATAGACATACACATGCGTCCTCAAGCATCTGGCATAGACATGCAAAATGGTAGCACAACAGTTAATACAGTATCAATCAAAGCAATAAGGCAACATGCACCGCATCTGTGTTCCCAGGTTCTGTGAAACCTTTCCTCTCTGTAATACAGCTTTGTCTTTTCTTCAACTTATTTCATTCTGTAGCACAAGCACTGTAGCAATTCTTCTGCATCAGAAGCAAATACTGTATCCTGAAGATTAAAGTTTCTTCTTTATATTCTTAGCCACCAAAGGGTTTTTTGGTTTTTTTTTTTAAATCAACCGTTGAGCAAATGATAGTCAGAAGATAATATGCTGTAACAGGTTTGTCCTGTAGAATGTCTGAGAATTTCCAAAATTCAAATTATTTTCTCCTTTCACATGCACTATTTACAGCTAGCTCTGCAGTACTGCTTCTTGTCCTATTGCATCAGTAAAACAGCACTGTTGATGTAATTCTGGCTTTTCTGGCTAAAAATTCACATATGATATGGTACAAAAACGCTGTATCTTCAGCCACAGCAAGACTATGTTAGTGTGTCTTAATTCCTACTGTCCTTGCCTGTTTCACAGCAGCTCCCTAAGGAGAAGCTCCTATTGATTCTATGCTCTGCAGTAAGATGAAATATCTAATAAGAAGGAAAGAGAGTGGGAGGAGAATAGAGCTAAAAGGATGACATCACCTGTACAGAAAGCCTTCAGAAACTGCATTAGATCAATTGGCTACTGTATCTGCAGATGTAGCCCAAAGAGCAGTTTATTGAAAAAACACACACACACCCTCCCTTTCCTGAGACATGTCAGCAAGCTAAATTCTATAAGAAAAAATTGGCTTAAGCACCATTTCTATTTCAGTTTTAGAAATCTATTTTGATTTTTAATTCTGTACACTGACACATAGCTGTATCTGGGAAGCCATATTTCCTAATATTATTCAAATTTAACACAGTGCTGTCCTCCCAAGGGAAAATAATTAGCTCTGGTAAGATAGCCTTGCATTCCAAACACATAAGGCAGCCTAGTTCTCAGATGTCACATATGTATTTGCAACACTACTAATTTGAAGGTTTTTTGCTTACAGAACTTGCTATTTATCAAATAACTGTTCTGAAAGGTATAACCTTCTGGATCATTTTAAATTTACATTAAAAATATAAGAAACTGGTACTAAAATTTGTACATAAATAGTAAATTTAAATGGAAACAACAGAATTTCATTTTGCCAAGAAAGCTGAAAAAAATCACAGGCACAATAGCTGCAGCATTTACCAAATCCTTTGAGGAAGAATATCTATATAACATGGTATTTTTCTGTAGCTCAATTCCTAAAAAGAGACAAGAAGCCAGAAAAACTCAGAAGAAGTCAAAGAAAATGATTAAACTCACTTCGAAAGTGAGCTTGGACTAAGGGAAATTGCCCCATTTTCATATAAACATTACCAGAAAACAAAAAAAATGATTTTAATTCTGCCACACCCCTTTCCATCTGAAAACACAATACATTTAAGTACCTATCCTGCTTCTGCCACAGGGCACCTACTGCAGATACTCCCACTTAAGTTTGTAATGGTGCCTCCCAATGGCAAAAGACATATTTTCCAAAGATAAAATACAGTTAAAATAGTTAACACCTTCAGGCAGTGAAATTATGAGAACAACAATCAGTGAACAAATTAAAGTAACAACTATTTTGTTTTATTCACTTAACACTTTCATTTTGGAGAGAAGGAGGTATGCAACATAAGAGATAATTACCTAAGAGACAGGTATTGCAACAAATGATTCCACTGACTTGTAGAAGAAACATCTTGTCATGAGGCACACACACAAAAAATGAGTTTTTCAATACGTTTGGGGCAAGGTGTGAATCACTTTCGGAACAATATTAGTCTGTCAATCTGAATTATATTGCTACTTATATGACTGGAATTTAAGTAAAACTATCATTCTGAATACTTTCAAAATACATGATTTATGAATTTTGATTTCCACAGAACTTCAGAATTATTTTCTGCAAAAATTCCAAAATTCTAAAAAAGATATACAATATTTACATTCATATATAAGATTAAATCTCACAAATTACACATAAGCATGACTCTAGTTATCTGTACAGGTTGATTTTCAAGCACCAGTTTTTTAAAATTTAATTAAAGAAGACTAAGTGAACTGGAATTTCAATAAATATTAAGTATTCGAGTATAAATGAACTAAAACCTAATATTAATCATTCTTTAAAATATAAAAAACGACAGTACATCCTTTCAGTGTAGATGAAGACAAACTTCTGCTAATGACAAATTTCTAAAAGACAAGCATTTTGTACATAAACCTTTGTAAGATTTAAGAATATTTCAGTTGACAATAATTACATTTGCATATAGTATCAACAGAATATATTATAGCCAAGTCAAAAAGCAAAATCCTAATGCTCACCTATTCCCCCTTTGTATAAATCATGCTGGTAACACACAAAGGAGGACCTCAAGCTGAGCAAGGGAGACAGCCATCTCTTAGTTGCATTAAAAAATTACTGCCTTGTGTAAGAAATATAATCCACTACCACCATATGTTAGACCTACTACTGTAGTAAACACCAACTCGATAAAGGAAAAAAAATCTCTCTTTTTCTTTATTTGGCTTGTAAGTGAAGATGACATCATCCTTTTCCTTGTTCTATCAAATCATCTCATAGTATCTGCTATTCTAGGCAACTGAATGGTAATCCTATCATGTAAAATCTTCCTGTGCAACAATACCAAGAAACAGCCAAATTCCATACTCAGCCTGTGAATCTATCAGCATTCTGATGAAATAATGACTTAACCTTTTAACTCATTACTAAAGGAAGAAACAAACATCTTTTGAAGAGAATAGTCAGTAATTTATCAATAACTAAAACACTTAGGTAAATGACCTATTTTTCACTTGTATCACTTTTAGGATTTTATCATGATCTCATTTGGTTATCTTTCCAATTCAAATAAAGTAACTGCAGCAAGGGAAAATGTCCTCATCTATACATTGTCTAGGAATTATCACTATAGGACAGCCACTTAAGAATCCATTTCCCCTGCATATGAAATGCCATGATGGTAAGCCATAGTGATATCATCATCTTTAGCTTTAAAAAGGTGTTTGAGTGTTTAAAAAGTAATGTATGTTGACTTTGCAAAGCTTCAAATCATTAAGAAATCTTTTTACAAAAATATAAACGCTATGCAGTTAAAATTTATGTTAACTGTATAAACTATAAACAAAAATACAAACCAAAACATTTGAAATCTTACTGTACAGAAAACCAGAGATAAGGTTCTGCCATTACTAAACTATCTTTTATGTCAGTATGTGACAACAATGAAAAGGAGGGAGAGAAAAGGTCACCACAGATAAAGGTAAGCTATCAGAGGATATACATTCTAGGCATTATGAAAAATAAAAAACCAACAGTAACAAAAACAAGATTTATACTAATCCCAGGCATTGTCATACCATTTATTCCCTACCTGCACAGTGAAATACTATAATCACAATTTAGAGAAGCCACAATCAAAAGGAAGTGAGGAACAAAAGAATAATTCTGTAGTTTTACAAAATAAAAGAAACAGGGCACTCTTATCTGTATTTTGGTTGTAAGTATATGGTCTTTGAAATATAAACTGTTAAATGTACTGCTTTAAATAGTAAAAACACTTTAATCCTTTTGGAAAATAAATGAATAAATGACTGCAATGATCAGAGCTAAGATACAAGTCCTTTTAAAGGATCATCCAAAGCTTTTCCACCTCCCTTTGCTCTCTGCTTAACTTGAACATCTGAAATGAATCTTTGCAGTTATCAGACATGGTTAACTCTAATTACTGGTGCCCCTGAGGAATTTCTTGCTTTCAAACTGCATCCCACCTATTCCTCTCCTCAGCCTTTCTGAAGGAAGGGAAGCCAGAGTACAGTCTTCTTCTATTCTTTTGTAAGAAACAGTGTGCTTCAGCATACTGTCATCTATGTCCACCAACTGATCACTTCCCGATGCTGTCGAAAAACTCTGTCAAAGCCACCAGGCGGCCACATATGCACTATGAAATATGATCCATCCTTAAGGGAGCCATAGAGGAAGAAAAAGCAAAAGGGAGAAGCCGTCATCATCAACTAAGGTGATGTAAGCTTCTATAATTAGAATCAGTGAAACTGAGCGAACAATAAAAGGCACCACCATGTGTCTACTTCCCCTGCGCTGTGCAGTTGTATCGAGCACTTTCATACAAACACAAAAGAATATACTGCGTATATATGGTAGTCAGTCAACTATGTTAACAGTACAGGCAAACCTATAATTTTTAAATAGTGTTAATTTTCCTCAAAAAATAAAATCTGTCCAATACTTAGAAGAGAGCCATATGTAAACCTGACAGAAAAATGAAGTCTCATTTTAAAATTGACTATCTGTAAATTCCTGGACTACAACATCAGAGATTACCTTTATATCAATTCTCTAATTTTAAATATTACATTTTCTAGTACTATAAAAGCCACATACAGAACACAGCACAGTTACGAAACACATAACAAATCAAACTAAAAGGCAGTAACAATCAGCATTAATTTGTTTGCTATATCTGAATAGCTGTTATTCCCCTTCCAACTAGAATGCTGCCACAAACAATTGTCTTAGATCACTGGTATACATTAATATTTGAGTTGCTTTAAACAATCATCAAAAGAGCTTTCTTTAACAGTTACTGTTGTAAAGTGTTTTAAGTATGGTAAAAATATTCCTGATTCTGGTTCCCTGGGCAAATCCATCTGAATCAGTGTCACCTTTAAGGGAGGGGGACTGCCCCAGACAACCAGAGAGGCATACCTTGCTCGATTCCCCTCAATAGTTCTCAAGTTTATACACAGTGAATGACAATTTTTAAAATGACTACTTAGAAGTCATAATTTTCATACCTTTAACCCAATTTAATTTCTATGAATCAATCTAAGGAAATGATCAGAGTCATGTATATATTTATCTGTAATAATTGTAATACTAATAGGAAAAAATTATAAGCTACATGAGAATACTTTGTTACATTAATATGACAATATTTTTATTCAAAATAATGCTTGGGAAAAATTTAACTGCATGAGAAATAAAAAGGCAGGATATATAACTAAATATTCAGCATTACTTAAATTAGTTAAAAGATGCGAATTAATCAAAAGATACAAAGAGTTGGGTCTCTGTGCCTGTGGGTTCTGCAACTGTGGATCAACCAACCACAAATTGAAATATTCAGGCAAAAACCTAATAAAAATAATACAACAACAAAAAATAATACATAAAGCATACAGTATAATGACTATTTACATAGCATTTACACTGTGTTAGGTATTATAAGTAATCTAGAGATGACCTAAATACACTCATGTGTCAATGACAGGAATACATTAGAAAAATGTGTTAGGGAATTTCGTCGTTGTGTGGACATCATAAAGTGTACCTGCACAAACCTAGACAGTAGAGCCTACTACACACCTAGACTATATGGTACAGCCTATTGCTCCTACGCTACAAATCTACACAGCGTGTTACTGTACTAAATAATGCAGGCAAATGTAACTCAATGGTAAATATTTGCATATCTAAACATAGAAAAGGTACAGTAAAAACAAGGTATTATAACCTTGTGGGACCACTGTCACATACGCAGTCCAGTGTTGACTGAAATGTCATTATGCAACACATTACTGTATATGGGAGGATGTTGTAGGCTATACACAAATACTATGTCATTTTATTCAAGGGACTTGAACATCCTCAGATTTGGGTATCTGCAAGGGGTCCTGGAACCAAGACCCCAAAGATATGGAGGGACAACTATACATTAAAAATCACTAGTAACAGCAGCTATCTCTAGTTTTGAGGACTATAATAAATTTCATTTCTTTCTTAACACTTTTGTATATATTTTGCATTTCTACAATGAGTATACTTTTTCACAAAATTTTTTAAAAAAATCTCCTGTAAAATGGCATTCGTCCTACTTTTAGGTGTATCACTTGTGTGCTTTTTCTCTATTTGTGGATTCACCAACCTCTAATTAGGTACAAGAACCTGCTATCACAAATTCGACATTATTTCCTAGAAGACAAATGAGGAGCATAATTCTCTTACGAGATACTAAATACTCACAAACAAAAAGATAATATCCTTTCTTGCTTTTAAAGTGGAAAAGACCACAAAGAACACAACAGTTTTTCAGGGCACTCTAGGTTGTAAATAGGGAGAGAGGAGAAGCAATAATTCAAAGTTGCACATATTCAGAGGCAGGGCTCCAAATTTCTCAGTGGCAGTATGATCAGTACTCACTGTCTTATACACAAGTAAGATCAGCAAAGGCACCAGATACAAACGTCCTGAGTTTAGAAGTTACAGAGGACTGTTTATGCACTCATTTTTTCATTCTACAAGTATTTACCAAACACCAAATATAATTAAAAACAATCAGGATCTATCAAGCCCACAAATACAAAATAAAGTTCATAATGTTGACAATTCCTTCATCAGTGACTTTAACTTATACAGTTCAAACTCCAAATTCTCCTGATGAATGATGCAACGAGAGTTGTTTATACCTCCCTTCACTTTGATGTGTATAAATGTTTAAACTGTTTTTTTTCACTAGTGCTCCATGAGAATATCTTGGGAATCATGTGTTCGGACCAATGCCCTCTAGCTTCTTATGAAACTGGCACACTGTTTATTATTTAGAAACATAGCAGCAGAACAAAGGAGAAATCAAGAAGGACTATAATTTCATAACTAAAATACCTGAATGCCAAAGTTTTGTGAACCTCTGAAGAATGTCCAGATTTTTTATCTGGTTCAATCATATTTCTATAAAAATGACTAGGTATGAATGATGTCTGATATTCTAGAGATGCATTTCAAGCTAAATAAAGGCATATTTGGTGCTTGACCTTAGGGAAACCAAGATGTTTCACCTTCAATGGCCCTAGCTTACCTCCACATATATACCAGTATTAAAAATTCAACTCACTACATTTTAAAATGTTTACTGTTACATGCTATTTAAAATAAAGCAATCAACTACATATAAAGAATACAGGCATTTGGCCAGGCGTGGTGGCTCATGCCTGTAATCTGAGCACTCTGGGAGGCTGAGGCAGGCGGATCATTTGAGCTCAGGAGTTTGAGACCAGCCGGAGCAAGAGTGAGGCCCTGTCTCTACTAAAAATAGAAAGAAATTAGCTGGATAACTAAAAATACATAGAAAAAAATTAGCTATTAGCTGGGCATGGTGGCGCGTGCCTGTAGTCCCAGCTACTCGGGAGGCTGAGGCAGGAGGATCACTTAAGGCCAGGAGTTTGGGGTTGCTGTGAGCTAGGCTGACGCCATGGCACTCTAGCCAGGGCAACAGAGCGAGACTCTGTCTCAAAAAAGAAAAAAAAAGAAAATAAGAATACAGGCATTTAAAACATTCTTAAATAAGTGCTGTTAATTTTATTTTGTTATCTTCAAAACAGAGCAGAAAGTAGGAACACACCGCATATAAATCCATGTAACATCCTATGGGACTAATGAAAAGAAGCACATTCTATAAACAGGAAATGTCACAAAAGGTGTCGTTAAAGAGTTCATGGATGAATGGACTCTTGGGAACTGAGCAGGACTTTGCTGGGAAAGCATTATGGGAAACCATTCCAGATAAAAGGAGCAAGTGGCAAGAATTATATTAGGTAAAGAAGTCATATGAGACCGGGCGAGGTGGCTCACACCTGTAATCCTAGCATTCTGGGAGGCCGATTGCTCAAGGTCAGGAGTTCAAAAGCAGCCTGAGCAAGAGCGAGACCCCGTCTCTACTATAAATAGAAAGAAATTAACTGGCCAACTAATATATATAGAAAAAATTAGCCAGGCATGGTGGCACATGCCTGTAGTCCCAGCTACTCGGGAGGCTGAGGCAGCAGGATTGCTTGAGCCCAGGAGTTTGAGGTTGCTGTGAGCCAGGCTGACGCCATGGCACTCACTCTAGCCTGGGCAACAAAGCGAGACTCTGCTTCAAAAAAAAAAAAAAAAGAAGTCATAAGAGCCTTAGAGGGAAAGAGAACAGGATCAAAGGAATTTTGGACATAATGGGGCAAGAAAGCTGAAAAGGTAAATTGCAGCTAAATGAGAAAAGGATTTACACACCAAATAAATTCAAAACTTTTAAAAGCCATATACTGGATTGGAGAAAGTTTGACCTACATTTCTAATATATGTAATTTATTTAAAAATTAACACATGTATCACTGGCAAAATCCTTTGTGTTCATTATGAAGTATACACAAAATCCCCAAAACTTTAAAAGGATAAAATAGTACATATAAATCCTATTATATTCTACTATTTTATTCCCACATCCTGAAGACTGTTTTGCAATCTATAATACATTTTAAGACATTTGGGCTACACAACTGACCTTGGTAACTACTATCAGAAAGAAGACCTTCAAATGAATATTCCAAAACCACAGTCATCATTTCTTGGCAGACATCCTCTGTCTCATTTAATTGGCTTCTAGCTACTTAGTCCATACAATAAAGCAAATTCAATGGCTTTCATATACATATTTTAACTATTTTATTTTCTAAGATTGGACAAAGAAATTACCTTGTTCAAAGTGAGTTATTCTGAGGATATGCCACTTTTTTATTTTTTTTTTGAGACAGGGTATCACTCTGTTGCCCATGCTGGAGTACAGTGGTGTGATCACAGCTCACTACAACCTCAAACTCCTGGGCTCAAGTGATCCTCCTGCCTCAGGCTCCCAAGTAGCTGGTACTACTGGCACACACTACGATACCTGGCTAATTTTTAAAACATTTTTTGTAGAGACAAGGTCTTGTTACGCTGTTCATGCTGGTCTCAAACTCTTGGCCTCAAGCGATCCTCCTGTCTCAGCCTCCCAAAGTGCTAGGATTACAAGCGTGAGCCATTGCACCTGGCCTAGAAAAGTTTCTTGAGGGCGAGAGTTAACTGATTGTTGTTTGTACTAACTTCAAGCCAACCTGATTTTATTTTTCTTACCCTGTATTCTTTCTTCTGATTCTTTAGGTTTTTCTTCATTTACCTTAATATATTTTACACATGTTGGTAACAGCACTTTTTACATCCAAGTATGTAAAATAGATATTAATAAACAGTAACATAATTCTGTAAGCAATGGAAACAAAGATATTTTTTGAATATCTACAATAACAACAATAGCAATAAGAAGGCACTGGCATTACTGAACATTTTTCAGGCTACAGACACTAGGCAGAGCTCTTTGTATGCATATTTTCTCACTTAATCCTTTTATAAACCTGTATTGCCATGTATCAAAACAGATGTGGAAAGGTCATACAACTTGCCCAACGTTACACAGGAAGTTAAGAAAGCTGGTAAAAGAACAGGCACTCTCACTCTCTTTGACAGTCAATATGCCCCTGAGGAGACAATGATGGCTCACATTTTCAAGGCTGTGACTGCTGAGGGAGAGACAGACATTTGAATAAATAATTACAGTGTATTGTAATGAGTAGTTACAAATACATAAATGAGGTGTTATAGGAACACAGATGTGCACCTAACCCTTTCCAGGAAAAAATTACAGAGTCCTCCCTAGAAATGGTGTGAAATTAAGTCTTGAGGATGAGGTTTTTGCTAAAAGGGTAAAGAATAAAAGGACATTCTAAGTAAAAGAAAGTGTACATTAATACAAGAGACATACATAAAAACATTTCTTTAAGGGGCAGCAAATTTGTTTAGTATGACTGAACGGTATGAAATGCATACAATAAGAGAAAAAGATAAAGTTGGTGGACAAAGTCCAGATCTGTGCTGTCCAATATGGTAGCTACTAGCCACATACAGTTATTTACATGTAAATTGCTTTAAATAAAATTAAAATATATCCTCAGTCACACTTGCCACATTTTAAGTGTTCAATTGCCACACATTAATAGTTGCTACCAATTTCAACAGCATAGATACAGAAAAACATTTCCATCATTGTAGAAAATTCTATTAGAACTGGTCTAGACTATGAAGACCCATGCTAGATCATTGGAATTTTTCTGATAAATGGTGGTAGGCTATGAAAAGATTTAAGAGTTTAAAACAAGTGATATTGTTAAAGCTTCATTTAGAACTGATAGAAGAAAAACAGACTAGTTGGTGGTAGGGGTTAGGAGAAGATGTAGGGAACAAAGCTAGCAGTAAGGAAACTGTGTCCAGAGAGAAGAGAAAAACAAATTTTAAAATTAAACAAACTGATTTTGTGGATATCCTCTGATAAAGAGATTATATAATACTTTTCAGTTTTAAAAAATTTTCCAAATTTCCTAAAATGGAAAAATACTGCTTTTACAGTGTAAAGTCGCTGGGGAGTTTAGATTACAGTATTACAGCAGTCCTGTTGAAGAAAAAAGTAAACACTAGGCCGGGCGCGGTGGCTCAAGCCTGTAATCCTAGCTCTTGGGAGGCCGAGGCGGGCGGATTGCTCGAGGTCAGGAGTTCGAAACCAGCCTGAGCAAGAGCGGACACGAACCGTCTCCTAAGCTATAAATAGAACAAATTAATTGGCCAATTAATATATATAATATATGAAAATTAGCCGGCATGGTGGCGCATGCCTGTAGTCCCAGCTACTCGGGAGGCTGAGGCAGAAGGATTGCTTGAGCCCAGGAGTTGAGGTTGCTGTGAGCTAGGCTGATGCCACGGCACTCTCACTCTAGCCTGGCCAACAAGCGAGACTCTGTCTCAAAAAAAAAAAAAAAAAAAAAAAAAAAAAAAAAAAAAGTAAACACTAAGGTAATGAAACTAAGAGAAAGGCACACATTTTGAAACATCTGATAGGCAGATCTACAGATATTACTGACTGATTAGACTGCGAAAGTGCACACATTTTCCAAATACTTCAGCAGCCACCCCAAAAGACAGGCAGACCTGATAGCATCATCCTCATTTTTAGAGGTGAAGTAACCAAACCACAAAGGGTTTAGATGAACTGGTCATAGAGTTAATGAGGAAAGGATTCAAAGTAGATGGCTCATCTACAGGCAAGACTCCTTCTACTTGGCTTAACTACCCATCCTACTCACCAAATACTGCTCCCAATCACTTTTTACTATCTAAATACCAAGCACACCTTCCTCAAAGATCAAAGCTCTGAAATTTCTAATAATATTTGAAGACATTTAAATTTGTTGCAAGTGAGAAAAAGATTTCAACAGATATTTTGCAACAGAATACATATATACAAATAGATAATAAGTACATGAAAAGATGCTCAACATCCCAAGTCATCAGTAATATGTAAATTATTTGGGAGGCTGAGGTGGGAAGATCACTTGACCTGATGCCAGGAGTTTGAGACCAGCCTAGGCAACACAATGAGACCCTGCTTCTACAAAAGAAATTTAAAATAATGAGCCTGGCATGGTGGTACATGCCTGTAGTCCCAGCTACCCAAGAGGTTAAGGCAAGAGAATTGTTTGAGCCCATGAGTCTGAGGGTTCAGTGAGCTATGATCATGTCACTGCACTGTAGCCTGGGTGACAGAGCAAGACTCTGTCTCTTGAAGGGGAAAAAAAAAAAAAAAGAGTATGTAAATTAAATCCAAAATGAGATACCACTATATGAACTGTTAGAATTTTTAAAAGAATAACATCTGAGAATATCAAGTGCTGGTGAAGATGTGGAACTGTCACTCCCATGGATAATAAAAAGAATATAAAATAGCATACCCACTCTAGGTAACAATATGGTAGTTTCTTAAAAAGTGAACTAGACATTTACTGTATGACATAGTCACCTACTCCTGAGTATTAGCATAAGAGAAATGAAAGTATATGTATCAACAAAGACTTGTACATAAATGTTCATTCATAGCAGCTTTATTTATAATTGCCCCAAACTGGAACAAACCACATATCCATTAACAGAGGAACAGAGAAACAAACTGTGGAATATTCATACAATGGAATACTACTCAGCAATAAACAGGGGAAAAAAACTATTGATATATACAACTGGGCTAAATCTCAAAATTATTATAATGAGTCAAACACGCCAGGCCAAAAAAATTCATACTGTACAATGCTGTTTACATAACATTCTAGAAAATAAAACTAATCTA